GCTTGTATTTACCGTTTTCACTATGACAAGGTTAGAGGGATTGCCCGCTACATCCCACAATATATGGAAAGTGATAATTTGATGTACTGTATCCTCATCTAGGAGGAAGGATTGTCCCATGGTCAGGACACTAGCCCAGATGTCTCAAGACCTGGGTTCAAGTCCCTGCTTCCACCACAGACCTCCTGCGTGACCTGCCCCAGTCATACAGGTAGCTAAGGATCTGGGCTTATCTGCTCTTTTAGGTGCCTAAATCCACCATTTAGGTGCCGCTTACATTCTCAAAGCCACCACTCGGCTGCTGATTAACCTTGTGGGCAGCAAAGTTTACACTGGTAGGCAGCTTTTGAATGCCAAACTGCTGGTGTTTCCCCATAGCTAACAAGCTGCTCAGAGCCAGAGGCCCCAAAGCAAGATTCTCAAAGTACACAGGGGAACGCCTGTCTCACCAGCAGGCCCAGTCTGAATGCATCTAGGACCAAATATCTGCAGCAGAAGAGCCAGATGCAGGACACTAATAGGTTGAAGGGCAGCAAAGCACAAAAAGCAAGCAGGACAGGAATTTTTTGACAGAACTCTGCTCATGTGTACTTCCAAAACTAAGACCTCTCTTCCTCTGGTTTAGAGAGAACATCATCCCTCGCAAGTAGCCAATCTGGCAGTTAGGGCATTCACCTGGGTTGGGGACACCCAGGTTCAAATTCCTGATTAGGAGCAGGGACTCAAACAGAAGTTTCCCACATCCCAGATGAGTGCCCCAACCATCAGGTTATTGATTAGTCTGGTGTGAATCTCTCTTAAAGCTATTCCGCTTTCCACAAGTTGTCAGTAGACCAGAGAGAGACCGACTGTGGTTAGAGTATGCCCCCCAGATGGGGGAGCCCTTGGTTCAAATCCCTGCTCTGAATCATTGTCCTAACCATCAGGATATTGGCAGGGGGTGAGGTTCTCTCTCTAAACCAGAGAGAGAAAGGTCTCAGTTTTGGCTGCTGAAGCATGAGCTATCTGATCTGGCATAGGCACCTGATTCCAGGAGAGGATCCTGAGCAAAGAAGGGCCCTAGTCTCTGGCCCAGTCTGGTGCATAAGCCTCTCTCTCTTCAGCATTTCCTTTCTAGCTACCTGCAGAGGCTCCCGACTCAGGTCGCTGGCTTCTGAGGATCCCTTCCTTAGGTGCCCAACTCTTCCCAAGCATTGTATGGGGAGCCTGGGCACCTAACATGGAGCTGTGCGTTTCACTAGACGGCAAGCTGCCTATGGGTTAGGAGTTGCAATGCAGAGCAGAGTAACACTTAAGTGCCTTTGAGGATCTAGGCCTAAGTTCCCCATCTGTAAGATGGTATCGTATTGGTATAAAATAGCACGTCCTTCCCCACATGGGTGTTTTGAGGATAAAAATCATCCCAGATTGTGAGGTGCACAGATACTACATTAATGGGGGTCATAGGTACCTAAAACAGACCGCTCCAGGAGTCAATACAACCCATTGAAAGCTTTGGCTGAAGCAGAATTATGCTGGTACATATGTGCTGGTTCAGAGCTACAAGTGGGTGTGGTGCTGATCTTTAGTCTCTGCAGCATTCTACACAAGCTGGTCTTATATTTAAGTACTTAGGTTAATTATAATTACTGCAAGTATTACTAGAATGAAGTGGAATCTGAAATCTTGGCACTGGAGAGCTGAGACATTTACAGCAAATGCAAGTGGTAAAAAATCTGAAGCCAGGTTATTTCTAGTATTAGCCGTCTGAACTAGTAGTAGAGCGAATATTACACACTGCATGTGTATGGGGCATCAGGTGGGACCTCAGATCCTCAGCACAGACCTTGGCCACTTGAGCTAAAGAAGTAACCTGCTTATTTGGTAGCTGTAGCAAGCCTATTATCTATGCCCCATTGGGTTGGAAAGTCGGTGGCTTAGCAAGGGTATAATTTAGGTCCAAAGGTGGGTGCTTGACTTAGAGTCTAGGTCACTGTCCAAATTTTGGTCCTGTTCAGCCTTTGACTCTATGAAGGTTTCAGACTATAAGCGCACTCTCCACACTATGTTTGTCCTGTCTTAGATCAACTGGCGATGGTAAACTGAAAAAGTTCTTTAGCTGGGTTAATTATAATTAATACTTGGAAGAAAAGGCAATCAGATTAAGTAAAGGAGAGAACCTTTTAAAAAGAGATTAATTCCAATTCTATGGATCTTAACTAAATAAACCAACAATGAGAGAAAAAATTCAGTCTACATACGATAGGGACTGAGAATACTCTTCCATAAAGAGCAAGCTGCAAGGTTTTACAATGTGGAACTTCACTTATCACTGTCTTTCTACCACTAACCACTCACTGGGCTTGCTTACATGCCCATCCACCTTCTCCGGCACACCTTTGACAGTTATCAGCTATTTGGAAGTTTGGTCTGTTTGTTTATCTGTTGTGAACTGCATGGTATACTCCTCATTTGTTTCAATGGGAAATTATGTACACTGTGTTCATTTTGCTTTGTTTTATGAGTGTTTTCCCCCTCCCCAGTATGGATAAATACAATAAAAGTTACCTATAATAAAGGTCTGAATGCACGGCTGTCATGGAGTTCCACCTGAGATGTATTAGGCCCAATAAGTCTATCGGAGAATGCCCAAAATTAAATCCTTCTATTCGAAGGGTCATACTTACTGTATATATTATACATATACTTGGCAGAATTAGATTTTTAATTTCAATGGATAATACCTATATTTATTTTGAATTTTTTTTGTTATCAATTTAAATTTTCTGCAGTTGGGGGGAATTATGGGGTGAGAAAGTGTCAGAATTTTTTTATGACAGTAGATGTTGAGATTCAAAAAGTTATAGCTTTATCACTGGTAAAGCACAAATTGATATCACATATCAAAATGTACAAAGTAAATCTCCTTAAATCAAACTAATAAGCTCTTAAGCAGTACTTTTCTTACTTTGCTACCTGCAAATTTCAATTATTGATATAAATATTTTTATTGGTTTGTGTGTGTACAGTGAAATCAATGTTTACCAACATTTACTGATAAAAAGCTAATCCTTCCAAGACTAATTATACAGATTGTGCAGATTCCATCAACATGAGGAAATTACAAGCAGTATCATATTTTAGCTGTCAGAAGACTGCACTGTACAAACTCCATGCACCACTTATGGAAAGTTCTCCTTTTATACTTCCTTGAGTGTCTGTTTTCTGTAACACTATTTATATACCAAGTAAATATAGATCCAAAAGATCATAACTGTAATAAACCAGCAAAAACTTTTAGATATCCACAGAATCTTTCAAATAAATTCCCATGTGATAAACCTCAGTGTAAAGCTTCAAACCATGAATGATTCGGAGTCACTGAATTAATAATGCAAGGGCTGTTCGTACTGGCATACAACAAAAACCAGAAGGCATTCTAAACTTCTCATAACAAAAGGGTAAGTACATCCAAAAGAAAAATCTATTCTCAGAACCCTCCCACTCCCCACCTTGAACCACCTTCTAACTAGGTTGCATATTTTATACAATAAGAAGTATGCTTTGCAGCCTGAAAGGCTGATTAACTGCAGCTTTTAGGTAGCTTGCCATTCTTTGATACCCAGAAGAGAGACAGCAGCACCATATTCTCAATAATACGAATGGGAATTAATCACACGAGAGGAGAATGAAAGCCAAAAGATGTGCCATAAGGAATTGGCCTGCTTACATTATATGCATCACACCCATGTTTAAATTCATAAACATTTCACAATAGTAACCAAATGCATATTTGCAAAAGAAAAGGAAGGAGCAGACAGAAGAAAAAGATATCAGAAAGTATAAAACTATTGTGCACCCCCCCAAACTCAGTGAGAGCATTTTAGAGTGTTTTAAGATTAGTACAAATCTCCCTCCCCAACACACCTGAGCTTTTAAATCACAAATGCAAACTTTTAATGGGCAAATGGTCAGTCGGTAGGAATACCCAGTGCATGTGGCATCAACACAGCTGCAACTGCAATCCCAGGTGAGATGAATGGTTTTGACAGCCACAAATGTTACTGAATTCAAAAGGCACGAGTTTGCATTGCAGGAAGTAAGGTCTTGTCTACATGGGGACATTCAGGGAAATTAATCCTAATTAACTAAGGGGGTGAATTTAAAGTGGCTTAGTAAACCTGTGTGTGGATGCTCTTTCTCAGAATTAAAGTGGCCTTAATTCAGTTTATTAATCATTAAGGCCACTTTAATTCTGAGTAAGAGCATCCACACAAGGGTTTAATGGGAGTTAACTAATCCACTAAAGTCACACCTTTAGTTAATTAGGATTAAATTTCCTGAGTTTCTCCCTGTACACAAGCTCTAAAAATCAGTCACACAGGCCTTCCGATAGCATCCTAGAGAAAGTTTTAGTTAACACCCCTCCACATATGTCACTGCTCCCTGCCCCCAGTAATTCTCAACAACTCCCCAAAACACACATCTGTTTTAAAAGAAGCCACCAAAAGCCAACCCCACCCCATATTTCAGAAGCTATCTTCCCAGTTCAGATTCTTTTGTAGCTGCATGTTACTGTCAGACTCTGATCCACCGTCCCTGCCACCAAAAGGCTTGCAGCTCAACTGCAAACTTAAGTGAACTAGAGCCCTTTGGCAATGGAGATCTTGCTTGTGTTCCTAAGCAGAACAGAGACCAAGTTCTGGTCTGCCCTTTCCCCAAAACCAAAGTGCATCTGTTCAGAGAGCAGTCTGTTGCGCTGCACCTCAAGCTGTTTCTATATTTGTAGTGTGCAAATGACACAGTAGCGATCTGGATTGGGGGCTGAAGGCAACATTTTTTGGTTGTTGTTTGTTTTCCCCCTGAGACAGCCACCGAGCAGTTTGCAAAAGAAATAACAATCGGAGCCCTCGCGCATGCTGTCTCCAGCCCTGGCCAACGAGAATGCTAAGGCATGTCACACTGAACCACCCAAAGAGAAAAAGAACAAACAAACAGAAAGGGAAAGCACAAATACTTACACCTAAACGTCTGCTCCTAATCTTTACATACCCTTGCTTCACTATGTCATTAAAATTGGAAGCCATCCTTTTTGTGGGGAGGAGCCGCTCGCCCCCAAGTTGAATCCAGTCTGTGGCTGAAATGATTCACCAAGCCCACATCCCCTGGAATAATCCTCCTGACCCAGAAACTCAGCGGCAAGAGTTTTAATCCACTTGGGAGAGGGGGGGGAAGAGGCTAGAGGACCCCCTCTGCATCAGCTGCCGGCTGGAATGAGCTCAGCGCTCCAGCTCAGCTCCTCTCCTCTTGCAGAACAGCGGGATCCGCCCTCTGCCTTCCTCCCCACCAGGGCAGAAAGCCCCCGGGCCAGCCCACCTAGCAGGGGCTGCACCTGGAGAAGCACCAGTCCTGGCTGTTCACAGGGGGAAGCACCGGAAAGTTGCGGGGGGATCCCAGGGAGAATTATGGTCGATGCAACCGCTCTGGGTGAGAGAAAGCCTGGCTGGTGGAATAGGGCTGGCTGAAAAACGTTGCTGCTTTGTGAGTTGCTCTCCCGTTCCCTACATGTTCTGCCCAGCCCCTTTAAATACATACACACACTCCCGACTGACTTAGCTTTCCTGGCTGTTCTTTTTACTCGTCCTTTTTATTTTCTTCGCTACCTATCTTCACCCTTATTAAGTCTATTTCTATGCTCTGTGGCAGCTGTCCCAGTTTCTTCTGTCTCTTCCCCTCTTTCACCATCATCTCAGTTGTGTTCACCCCTTCTCATTGCCCATGTTTCAGTCTCTCTTTTCCCCTTTTATAGGGCTGAGCATAGGGTTGCCACCTGTCCGGGTTTTACCTGGATAGTCTGGTTTTCGGGTGCTGTGTCCAGGTGCCCTAATTAGGGTTGCCCAGTTTTCGACTCAGTCAAAAAGGGGACCCTGACAGTGCCCAGTGAGATGTACTGACCGGCCACCAAAAGACCGGTTACCGTGAGGTGGGAGGGTAGGGTGACCAGACAGCAAATGTGAAAAAATGGGACAGGGGGTGGGAGCTTATAGGAGCCTATATAAGAAAAAGACCCAAAAATCAGGACTGTCCCTATAAAATCGGGACATCTGGTCACCCTAGGGTGGGGAGGCACTGGGTGATTAATTCACGCCAGCCCCTGCTCAGCCAGGGCTACCTCCTACCTGCGTGCAGGCTCTTTGTCAGGCTGTATCAGCTCCCATCCCGAAGCAGAGGGAGTCCAGCTGGGAAGTGGGAGTGGAAATGATCCAGGGATGGGGGAAGACAAGTAAGTGAGGGGGGCAGGGCCTTGGGGCGAAGAAGTGGAGAAGGGGGCAAGGTGATGAGCTCAGGTGTAAATCTATAGCACTCTGACCACTTGGAACAAGGTACTTTAGTTAAAAGTTCTGGAGCATGCTTTGACATACTGCTGTTTGAAACAGGTCATAGTACGTCAAAGCACGGTACAGAACTTTTCATGCCCAGTATCAGGGTCCACAGGCAACATGGTGCACAGCAAGCTAGTGCACTGTATCATCATACCTGACATGCCACACATTAAGCCACGGACAAGCCCGCCCCACTACACACCACAGTAAGTCATTTATTGGGAGCAAAAAAAAAAAAAAAAAAATTGCACATCACCCTTAAAACCACTTAAAGTGATACTGTCCTACAATATTTCAGCATGTACATATAATTCCCTGAGTATAAACTGACATGCTGTTTTGGGGCCTGATTTAAAGTCCATGGGAGACAACAAAAAGACTCCAAAGTGCATTGGATCAGGCTCTTAGCCTCTCTTTTTTTTTTTTTTGCTGTACCAAGTTTAAGATCCACGTAAGAAAGGACCAGTGCTCAATAACAGGGGCTGTTCTGCAATTCTCAGGACAGGTGGTGGTGACCTGTGGTTTTCTGCAGGAAGGTGCATTTCCCAGAAAGTCTCTTGGCTGCCTCAACAAGCGTCATCTGGCACCACTCCAGACTCTGACTGAAAGTAACCTGAGCCTTGGCCCTGTGGAAGTGGTAGAAATGTCACACAGACATATGCCACTTTTACTCTGGCAATGTGTGGCTGTCCCGATGAAAAAAACTTGGCTGGCATTGGGCAGCATGCTGCAGCTGGTTGATAGTCATTGTTTTCAGATGTTTGCAAGCACTGCTGAGCATAACAATGAACCAGGAAAGGGAGAACTTCAGGCACCCCCACCACTGTTGTTGAAATGACTTATTCATACACCCCATTGCTGGGGAAGGAATTGCTCACTGTGTAAAACTGGACATTTTAAAAAATGCATCCTTTACTACCTGTTAACCATTCTAAACACAGGCACCCATTGTCTGGGTAGGAGGATACTCAAATACCTCTCCCTTTTAGACTGAGACTGCCAGCTTACTGCAATGACATCCTTCTTATAGAGGAGCTGGGCAGATGGCGACAAGGTAGACCAGGAAAGAGTCACTGAAAGCCAGAGATCAATAGTAAATGTGGAATGTACCTTCTAGGTATGTAACTAAATTCTTCAGGCAGGGATTGCTTTTTTAATGTCTATTGTACAGACCTAAGCATACTGTTGGCACCAAACCAGCAACAAGTTGGCCAGTCACATAAGGTTTTATAATTTCACTGAGAGCCATGGAAGCAGAGAGTGTAGGCGTGTGGTCTGCCATCTGGGCCTGTAGCTATGAGTTGCTTTTATAGGCATCTCCATTAAATGCAGCTGATGGGACCAGGGACAGAATGCTGGTATATTTTAGGGAGTCAACTCCTGCTTTACCTACTACCTCACATACAGTTTTGTATTGGGAAAGGCAGGTCCTAGGTCATGCTATTTTCTCCACAGTGATAGTCCGCTTCTCTACTCCATACCCTACATGGACTAATTCATGGACCCATCTTTTGCTAAAAGAACCAAAAAAGTGCCACCGTGGCTAAACGACAAAGTAAAAGAAGTAGTGAGAGGCAAAAAGGCATCCTTTAAAAAGTTACATCCTCGTGAGGAAAATAGAAAGGAGCATAAACTCTGGCAAATGAAGTGTAAAAATATAATTAGGAAGGCCAAAAAAGAATTTGAAGAACAGCTAGCCAAAGACTCAAAAAGTAATAGCAAAAAAAAATGAAGTACATCAGAAGCAGGAAGCCTGCTAAACAACCAGTAGGGCCACTGGACGATTGAGATGCTAAAGGAGCACTCAAGGACGATAAGGCCATTGCAGAGAAACTAAATGAATTATTTGCATCAGTTTTCATGGCTGAGGATGTGAGGGAGATTCCCAAACCTGAGCCATTTCTTTTTAGGTGACAAATCTGAGGAACTGTCCCAGGTGTCATTAGAAGAGGTTTTGGAACAAATTGATAAATTAAACAATAAGAAGTCACCAGGACCAGATGGTATTCACCCAAGAGTTCTGAAGGAACTCAAATGTGAAATTGCAGGACTACTAACTGTAGCCTGTAACCTAGCATTTAAATCAGCTCCTGTACCAAATGACTGGAGCATAGCTAATGCGACGCCAATTTTTTAAAAAGGGCTCCAGAGGTGGCCCTGGCAATTACAGGCCGGTAAGCCTGACTTCAGTACCAGGCAAACTGGTTGAAACTATAGTAAAGAACAAAATTGTCAAACATATAGATGAACATAATTTGTTGGGAGCATAAGCTTTCGTGGGTAAGAACCTCACTTCTTCAGATGCAAGAAGTGAGGTTCTTACCCACGAAAGCTTATGCTCCCAATACTTCTGTTAGTCTCAAAGGTGCCACAGGACCCTCTGTTGCTTTTTACAGATTCAGACTAACACGGCTACCCCTCTGATACATAATTTGTTGGGGAAGAGTCAACATGGTTTTTGTAAAGGGAAATCCTGCCTCACCAATCTACTAGAATTCTTTGAGGGGGTCAACAAGCACGTGGACAAGGGGGATCCAGTGGATATAGTGTATTTAGATATTCAGAACGCCTTTGACAAGGTCCCTCAACAAAGGTTCTTAAGTCATGGGATAAAATGCATTAAGCAGTCATGGGATAAAAAGGAAGGTACTCTCATGGATTGGTAACAGATTAAAAGATAGGAAACAAAGGGCAGGAATAAATGGTCAGTTTTCAGAATGGAGAGAAGTAAATAGTGGTGTCCCCCAGGGGTCTGTACTGGGCCCAGCCCTATTCAACATATTCATAAATGATCTGGAAAAAAGGGTAAGCAGTGATATGGCAAAATTTGCAGATGATTCAAAACTACTCAATATTTTAAAGTCGCAAGCAGACTGTGAAGAGCTACAAAAGGATCTCACAAAACTGGGTGACTGGGCAAAAAAATGGCAGATGAAGTTCAGTGTTGATAAATGCAAAGTAATATACATTGGAAAACATAATCCCAATTATATATATAATATGATGGGGTCTAAATTAGCTGTTACCACTCAAGAAAAAGATTTTGGCATAATTGTGGATAGTTCTCTGGAAACATCCACTCAATGTGCAGCAGCAGTCAAAAAAGCGAACAGAAGGTTGGGAATCATTATGAAAAGGATAGATGAGAAGACAGAAAATATCATATTGCCTCTATATAAATCCATGGTATGCCCATATCTTGAATACTGCATGCAGATGTGATTGCCCCATCTCAAAAGAGATATATTGGAATTGGAAAAGGTTCAGAAAAGGGCAACAAAAATGATTAGGGGGTATGGAACGGCTTCCATATGAGGACCAATTAATAAGACTGGGAATTTTCAGCTTGGAAAAGAGATGACTGGGGCGGGGGGGGGGGGGGGGGATATGATAGAGGTCTATAAAATCATGATGTGGAGAAAGTAAATAAGGAAGTGTTATTTACTCCTTTTCATTACACAAGAACTAGGGACCACCAAATGCAATTAATAGGCAGCAGGTTTAAAACAAAGAAAAGGAAATATTTTTTTCATACAACGCACAGTCAACCTGTGGAACTCCTTGCCAGAGGATGTTGTGAAGGCCAAGACTATAACAGGGTTCTAAAAAGAACTAGATAAGTTCATGGAGGATAGGTCCATCAATGGCTATTAGCCAGGATGGGCAGGGATGGTGTCCCTAGCCTCTGTTTGCCAGAAGCTGGG